ACATCAACTTTTCTAATAATTTGGAGAAACACGTGAGAACAGATATAGGTCTGTAGTTTTCGAATCTAGTTTCATCGCTATTTTTAAAAATTGGTGTAGCTAATGCTTTCTTTAAATCTTCAGGAATAACTCCATGTAGAAATGTTAAATTAAAAATGTGTGTTAGCGGTTTCGAAATGTCTTTAGCAATATGTTTTACGATTTTTGTACTTATATCATTATACCATTATTTCATTTTCAAGTTCATTTTCAATAATTGGATTGAGAAAAAGACTATCTGTATAGTTACTTTTAGGGTATTTTTCAAAATTTATAGTTTTCTTTGTATTTATTTTTTTGGCTAGATTAGGTCCAACATTTGTAAAGTATTCATTAAATTTGTTAGCAATTTCGTGTGGATCATCTAAGACATTTGTTGAATTTGTTTCAACAAATACTTTAGATATTTTGGTAGTTTTTCTTGAATTGTTTAACAATTCGTTTAGTGTTTGCCAAAGCATTTTCGTATTTTGTCTGTACTTGATAAGTTGTTCTTCATAATATTGTTTTTTCGAAATTCTTATAACATGATTTAGCTTATTTCTATATTTTTTGTAAGCCAACTCATTTTTACTAGTGGGGTTGTTTAAAAATTTCTTGTAAAGTTTATTTTTGCTCTTTACAGACTTTAATATGCATTTTGTCATCCATGGACTTTTATTTTTGTTAATTTTTGCTTTATTTTTTCCAACTGGAAAGTTAGCATTATATGAATCTGTCAACAACCGAGAAAACTCGTCAAAAGCTTTATCTGGGTTTTCAGTCTCGTTCAGTACACTATCCCACGATGTAGTTTTAATGGAATTCTTGAATGATTCTATGTTTGTTTTATTTATGATTCTTTTAAACATATAAGAATTTGAATTTTGTTGAATAATATTATGAAAAACATTTGTGTTATATGAATGCACTATTGGTAAATGGTCAGATAGATCACTTAAAATAATTCCGTTTATGCTGTCATTAAGTTTCTCAATATTGTTTGTAAAAATATTATCAATGAGTGTTGTTGTATGATGGGTAACTCTAGTTGCTTTCGTTATTAATGGGAAATATGAAGATGTAAACAATTGTTCTAAAAAACGGTTTGAATAATCACAAGATTCTGATTTAAATAGATCTATATTGAAATCACCCATAAGATAACAAATTTTGTTTTCTTTATCAATTATATCTAGGATTTTTTCCAATGAATTTTCGAACGAATCATTCTTATTGTTTGGTGGCCTATAAATTTCACCTATAATTATATTTTTACCAGTATTAGTGAGTATTTCTACAAAACTTGTTTCAATAGTATCTTCTATATTAAAGGTTAGGTCTGAGCGGATTTTGTAATCTAAATCTTTTGTGATATATAAACCAACACCGCCGCCTTTTTTGTCAGTCCGATTCGAAACAATAAAGTCATAGTTATCTAGTTGAAAATTGTCTGTGTTATAAATATCGCTTAACCATGTTTCGGATAAGCCTATTACGTGGAAATTTAAATTTAATGATCGACTTAATCAGATGCTTGAAGGAGCAGAATTTGTTACAAATACTTCTTATGTTAAGATGCATTATTGAGAAATCGTTTTTTATGTCCATATTGTGTGTGTTTTTTTTTAACTCATGCGGAAGATAATAATCACACTGCATCATTTCAGTGTTGAGGCATGTGTCTATTTGTGAATCATTATTGAAGACTTCCGGACCTATTTGTTGATTGAGAAAAAAGGAATTGAATTTCAATCTATTTAGTCTATCCATATCTGTATCGCTGAATACTTTCTTATGGTGAAATGCCGAAACTTTAGAATTAGTAACATTTTGTGAAAGAAAATTTTTGTTACTTTCTGTTATTTGTTCCATAGTTGAATGCATATATAATATTAATTAATGTAAGCGTGATAGACTGATAGCATATTTTGTTTATATGTAATAGGAAACCTAGTGAGTAGAATTATGTCTAAAAAGTTGGCCATCTATATATAACTTATCTCTAACTAATTTTACTCTCCTACCATCCTCACGTGCTTTCTTCATTTCTGGCAGTAGTCGCTTTCTTAATTTAACAATTTCCTCCGGGAACTGTTCAGAAATTGCAATTCCTGTACCCTTTAATCGCCTCGCGTTAGCCAGTATACGTTCCTTATCCGGGTAAAAATTAAATTTCGCGACAATGGCTCTTGGTCTTCTCGATCCCGGTGTTCTTCTGCCTATTCTGTGTACATATACATATAGCCTATAAATATTTTTAAAATACTGTATATTATAAATACCAGTAGGTAAAACATAGATAATAAAAAGTTAAAACATACAATGTAAATAGTCTTTAAATAAAATATATTTAGTAAAAGAAATTGAGAACAAGTGTAGAAGTGCTGAAACATCAGAGGCTATTACAGACCTACTTTAGTATTTACCGTCTGTAAATGCCAGACAATTTTACTTATCAGTAGGTAGAGGTCTGTCAATAAATGAGTTAAAAATCTGTAGTTAGCAGTCTCTATAGTAGCCAAAGAGTTAAGTATATACATACAGTAACTTGGCTGGGGACTGGGCAGAAAAAAAGCAAGAACATCATGTAACATCAAGAATAGGGCGAAGCTCAGCTGCAGCTAGTTCAGGCCTTCTTTACAGGTTAGAAAAAACCTTTGTATATTTGAATAATACCCTGAATCTAGCTGGATATTTTTCAACTATCCAACATATATCCTGTATGCAGCTGGATAGCAAAAACATTCTATCCTGCACATCCCTACACAGAACTTCATTCTTCAAGTAAGTAAGGTAAGAGCAAATTGCTCCTTTATAGGTGTTAATATTTAGGTGAGATATGGGCGAGCATGCCACAGTCGGTAAGTAAAATTGTCTAGCATGAAATGTCAGAGTTAAATAATAATATCAAAGTACTTATTGTAGGAAGCGTTAAATGTCAACATGAAACATGGGCAGAGTCTAGTACGCTAGCTAGACACTTCCCTTGATGAATAAAATTGTCCGGCATTAGGCAAGATAACATTTAATAACAAAGTGCCGAATATTGGGCTCATTGGAGTGAAATGGGTAATTCCAAAAACAATCAAACCCTTGCCGGGGTGTCTCTAAAAAATATAAAATGTAGCCCAAAGTTGTTACATACTGTATATTATTAAGCAGATCATGAAGACATGTGGTGTAACTAAATGTATTCATAAGTTTGAACAAGCAAACTAAGGACTTTAACTGTTTCCAGTTAGGGACACATCTATAATCAAGTTGCCACATATGACAACAACACATCAAATTGATCAGCCTAGACCTAGGCCTTCTATTTTTATTTATATATTTTTAATATTCAGCGCTTTTTAACATGAAAAGACTGGGACTAGGTGATTTGGGGGCGGGGCGAAGAAAAAATAGAAGGCCTAGTGGATTTCCCAACAACAAGGCCAAAACTGCCCTGAAACTGCCCTGATTGCGAAATGGCGCATAACATGCAAGGTAAGGTCCGAAAACTATATTTTTATCATCAAAATTGTAATCAAATAATTTAACGCCCACGCTTGACTTCATATGAATAAGTATGCTAAATTTGAATGGTGTTGACATATATTAATATTAATGTATATTTATAGTCAAGGGCATCGGATTTCACCTCATTTGTTTTGAATTATTTTAAGCAGACTCGTATTACAATGAAGAAACCAGAGCGACTGTATCAAGCCCTCGATCAAGTCCGTCTAGAATAAGTAAAAGCAAGAAAAGGCAAGGTCCTAGATTTACCCCAAGTCCTGGTTACCGAAAATCTAAAAGGAAAATTGTGACCTCTTCAGGTAGTATTATATTTTATTATATATTATAATGTTAACATTGTTGTCATTGCATATCTGCATATCCGCAATGATCGATTATTATAAATGAACTTTTGTGGCAGAGTCTATATTTTGTCGCACATGTTTACAGTCGAACCTGTATTAAGCGGTCACCCTCGGGGATTTCGCAAGTGACCGCTTAATACAGGTTGACCGCTTAATACAGGTCTTGTAGAAAATCATCACACGGCTTAAATATAACATTTAATATAACTAAATTTGAACTAAACAGTAATATATTTCAATACACATACCAAGTAACCAATTAACAAGTATATAAAACTGCAAATTGTTTCTGAATTGTTTCTGAGTTGCATGTACTACTGCACAATAAAAATGTCAGAGCCTAAACCGCTGAAAAATAGTCATGAATTTTATGTTTTGTTGTTGCGGACTGCTCAGTTTAATTTGACTCAACAAGCCATTCACCCATTTGCTGTAGTTACTTTCCACTGACCGTTTAATACAGTTTCAAAACAATGAAAAATTAAGCTTGGGACCGTGGAAAGATGACCGCGTCCGCTTAATAGAGGTGACCGTTCAATAAAGGTCACTTAACTAGTATTTATATTATGAAATTTTCGGGACTTTGCCACATGACCGCTTAACAAAGGGTGACCGCTTAATACGGTGCCGCTTAATACAGGTTCGACTGTATTATGAATCACTGCACAATTTCTGGCACAATCATTTCATGAAACCTAACACATTAAATGTTCAATCCACGTTGTACATTTGAAATGGATTAGTTTTATGACATTAAGTAAATAAGAAATCTGTTTTCAATAAAGTGCAAAGAAACACAACATCATTATTGATAAATAAACTTGATTGGATCAGTGGTGGATCCAGGAGGGTTTTTTTTTTTGGGGGGGGTGCTGGCCCTGCTATGTGAGCTGCGGGTGGCCATTGAGCTGATACAATATAAATTATAACGATGGATGTTTACAGCAAAATTCAGAATATTTAATATTAATATTTGCTATTGTGAACTAGTGCTACCAGCTGCCTTGGATTCTTAACTTAAGTTGGTTAGAATTAGAATAAACTTAGGATAAAGAGGGGGTGCACACCCCCCTGCAACCCTACCACTAAATCCACCACAACGAACTCCAAGTCATCAATAGATCTGATGTATAATTATATTTCTTACATTCATCCTCAATTTATTTCAAATGAACCTGCTTCATTCCACCATGTTATGGGGGTTATTATGCCAATTGGCTCAAAATTTAAACAGGTTTTATTTTGTACACATTATTTTTTGTATTCATTAAATTTCAATATTTTCTCTATTGTATAGTTTGTTTATTTGATGCTGTCAAGAGGAATTTTGTTTTTCAAATTGGTAATTGTATACCTCAGACAGAAGTGGAGCTTCAGCTAGAAAAAATTGTTGGTCATAAGATCACTAAACATAAAATATTTGATGCTGTGCAAACACTCGGTAAAATTGAAAAGAAGACAATCCGTGTTGGTGACCAAAAGGATGGATGTGACAATAGAAAAAGATTGTATCCTAGCTATAATATAATACATTTGTTAAACTGTAATATTACGTCACACACTTGCACTTTCTTAATTTACTTTATTAAATTAACTTCTTTTAAATTAATTAATTAATTAGTCATAGTTAATATAGTGTACAACTTTCTGCTGATTTCCTTAACAACCTAATATAGAACTGTCTTGGTGAACATCTCAAGAATATCAAAACAATCTGCTTCTCATATATGGCATAATATTTATGGCTCTCTTGCACAAATTCAACCAAATTTGGGTGCTGACATAGTAACAGCTATTCAACAAACTGTTTTGGAAAATGTTACACCACTCATTGAAGAAAATTTTGATTTAAAGCAACAATTAATGTTTTCTGCCAAAGAGGATTCAGCAACAAACATGAAAAATGGAAAAGCAAAGTCCATTAAACGAAATTTATTTTCTGATAGTGACAAAACACATGATACTGATGACCACTGTGACTCAACTGGCAATAGCAAAGAGCGTAAGCCGCCGTCCCACAATGATCAGGACCAATTAAAATTTGATAAGCAAGCCCTGGAAGTAGAACTTTTGGAATTTCAGAAGATATGTCAATTTACAGTCGTGGATGACAGAAAGTGAAGATTTAAACTTTATATTCGGAGAAGGAACGTTTGACCAAATAGCTATTAAAGTACGTGAATATTGTCCACTACTGACTGAGATTGTGGAGACCCTTGCAGTCGGTAAATGGTCAAAGTACAATAAGTGTAAGAAGACTGTCTCGTACAAATTCAAAGCTGCCCTTCAAATGGTCCTTGCATTGGATGACATTAAAAGCCAAAGAACAACCACTGCCTTTTCAACACTGTTTGGACTACTGCTGATTTCATATGGTGCTGGAAAAGTTGTACTGCGGACTTTAGAACCTTTTGGTCTGTGCAAAAGTTATGATTTCTAGTAAGTAATTGCATTAATTCAATATTTAACATATGGCCCCTCTTTGTACAGATAGTCAGCCCGCAAGTAAAAGAATAAAGTAGTGTAAGGCACATTGCTTGAATTGTCACTTTGATAGGTTAAATTGTTGCAATGTAAAACTTCTGTTTTTAGAGGGGTTTTTACTGAGTACTCCAGTTTTTCTCCCTTAATAAAACCAACATAAGATCTTATCTGTGATTCGAACTGTGAAATGGCAGTTGCCTGTGGCGCCTTTGATATGCCTTGACAAGGGATAGTGATTAGCTACCTGATTCTTCTTTCTTTCCTAGTGTAATGCACATACCTATTGTTGTAAATTGTATTTGAGGGATATTTTAATAAATTAATAAGATATATTATCTTTTTGGCAGTCTTAGTTTTCTGGACAAAAGAAGAGACAAGTACAAAGATATTGCAGCTAAATCATTTCCTGACAATTGTCCAGTCATTGTTGCATATGATAACATTAATATCCACAAAGGACAAGCTCGCCACACAAGAATCAAAGAAAGAACAGTTCCCATTATGTGGAATTTCACTAGCAAAGCAGTCATTAAACCTATTGTTGAAAATGTAAAGAGTTTATTTGATAACAGTAAA